TAATTTGACCATATATACAAGAAAACTTTTGTAAAATACTCTGTATTTATGTTAATCTTATTATATTTGATATTGAGTAATGAATTTGACAATACAATAAATTTTTTATAAAATACTCTATATTTATTATTTGTAATTAATTGCATCGTGATTTAAATTACCACCATATTAGCATAAAATAAATAGAATAGTTGTTATATCATAGATCATAAATTGATGTGACTCTAATACATGTCATCGTAATTCAAAATTTATTGTAAAACTCAAAATTATTATTCTTTTTAAACTTTAGGGATCAATATAGATGTTTTGAAAATATTGTAACAAGAATATAATAAATTTGTAAATTCAAAGGCAAAAATGGATATTAATATATAAAACAAGAAAAGTCAATAAATATTTTAAATTGAGCACAATTTAGAAAAAATATTGCTTCTAAATTGGTTAACAATTTAAAAGCAAAGGAATTTACTAAATTTGCAATTTATTACATACATTTCTTTGGTGGAAATAGAGTATTATATTTTTACTTTTATACATTCATGATTATTTTTATTTTTTGATAAAAATACACTCATGATTATTAATGATAGTGTTGGTGTGCTGGTGGTATGATTAATCACTGAAACTGGCATTAAACAATAATGAAATGCGAGACCAATAATATAATTGACCTTGAAAACAATATTCAGAAATGGCAGAATTAACCAAATTTTAATATATTTTTTAAGGAAAAAAAAACATAAAAGAAAATGTTCAACCATGGATGTAATTGAGATATGAAATTTCTGTAGACAAAAATAATTGAGAATAAAGTAGACTGCAAAAATTGTTTTGTTTTGACTTAACCAACTTACCATAAAAATAAATAATTAATTAAAGTTTTGACTTAGTTAACTAAGTATGTTTTAACTAATTAAATTACCGTCATTTTTACCATTTTTTTACCATTTTTGGAAGATGGAAGCAATTAAAAAATAGAAAATTTTCATCATACAAGTCAAATCTGCCATAAATAAAGGGTGGATATACATTCAAATTTTATTACCATATGTAATTAATGAAAGTGCCAAAATCTCACAAAAAATGGTTTGTAATTAATTTAGAGCATAAAGGTGTAATTAAAAATAATAATAATAAACAAAAAAAAACAAAAAACAAAGAGGCATGAAGGTCGCATGACCAAAAAATTATAAAATGCATGTGTGACTCTCATGACTTGATAACCGTTGATGCACGGTCAAAACACCTTTTAAAATTGAGTTATTTATAAAAATAATATAAAAAATATATATTTTTTTAAATATGACAAAAAGAAAATTAATTTTACAAAAACAGTATGATTCAAATCCAACTCAAACTCAAATATAACCATACCAAAGAGTGTTTAAAATAGTCATATGTGAAGCATAGCTTAACCGTAATTGACATTATCTTCAATTAAGAGTTTGTGAGTTCGATCTCCACTCTCACATATGGTAAAAAAAAATCGTGACATTTTAAAAAATACATTTAAAGCGAAATTTTTATATATATTTCTTTTCAGTAATAGGGAGAATCCCAAATTTTCTAGGGAAACAAATTGTTTAAGGACAAATTTAAACTATTTTCCTTAAATAGGAAAGTAAGAAAAACTTTAATTGAACTTTCTTGATTTTGAAAATTTTCAGTAAAAAATCTTAATTTTGAAAATAATTTGGAAACAATTAATTATGACATGTTGGTGGGTATTTCTATATTTGTTCAACAATATTAATAGTTATTAGTTAGTCTGTTACTTGTTTTTTGGTTGCAGTTCATATGAATTTAAATCTATACTTCATTCCTTGATATTGATATTCTTGTGTTTTTGTTTTTGTGATTTTCTAGATAGATTTACATTGTTTATTGCTTTCTTTTCTTTTCTTTTTCAATTTTCTTTTTCGATCCTCTTTAATTTTGATTTCCTCTCAAATTTCAATTTCAAGTCTAGAGAAATTGGGTTTGAGCAAGGTTTTGCCGTGTATAAATGGGTTGATTCCATCTCTTCTCTTCGTGGGTGCACATTCATAAAAAGAGTGTTTGTGTTAATTTTAGAGAGTAACTAGCGTGTGACGATTTAGCACCAAAATCGTGTGGAAATTGCTTTCAAGGCAGTAGTTTTTTCTACGGCACAACGATTTTGTTGTTGTCAAATTTGGAATGTACCTTCTCAGATGTGAAGAAACCCTTGAGAGTTGGATGTAAAAACCTTTACTCATGTAACTCAATCCCAGAACCTAAAAAACGATTATGGAATCAACCCAATGAAAGTAAAAATCGGATTACCTTGTTGATCAAATATCTCAAAATAAGAAAATTTGTTTCTTGTTTTGAGATCTGCATCACTCCACAAGCAAGATAGATCAAGTCTCACTCGAATGGTCCTAAATATGTAACTATTTTTCACTTAGTCGTGAGATTTATACCATCATATCTATCAAAAGTTATTAAAATTATTAAAAATTTAGATAGGAAAAAAAAACGAAAGAGTGGATAAAATATAGATAAATAAAGTTGGAGAAAMAATTTACTTTCCCTAAATTGAAATAACAAAATAACAGGATATTTTTAGAATTTAAATAATAATTTAAAAATAAATTTCCTCACAATCAACAAAATTTACTTGAAAACCATCTCTAAATTGACTGACTAAAATGAAAGTTATTACAAAATCACTCTCGGTGCTGTCAACTTTTAATGATTAAACTATTTTTTACTAGCGTTTTTACTTTTAATCAACGCTAGAAATCAAAATTCAAGATCATGAATAGTTTGTTTTGGAAACAAAAGAAAATATTAGAAAATTAGATTTTTCTTTTTGGAAAAATAAGACACATTTATCCGGTAGAACCAAAATTACACATTTTTTACTAGCGTTTTTATTTTTAGTCACTCTTGCACATAATAGCTTCGTCCAGCTCAGAAAAACTCATCTACTACAGGAGTAATACATTTTTTGTACACTCTAATTTTATCTTTATAAATAATTTTTTAATATTAATAGATCCCATATTTTTAATACAATGTTGATGTGGCAGATAATGAGATAATAAATAAAAATAGTATCCACATTCATACAACCACAAAATTTTTGGGACATCATGAATGAAAAAGATGATATAATGAAAAAAAAGAAAACAATAACAACAATACAAACCAAAACATAGTTCAACGAATCAAGGTACTTATCTTTAAATAATTTGTATAGAAAATGAAGTAAGAGAAAAAATAAATAAATAAAAGAATACACACTGCTGGAAAATACAAAAATAAATAAAAGAATACACTACTGGAAAATACAAATAAAAAAGTAAGGGAAGAGGAAGATGACAAAATTCACAACGTAAAAAGAAGGGAAGTCCACGAATGAAACTGAAAAAGCAAACAAGACAAAATAAAGGCAAACTTGGAATTATATAATAATTATTATAAATGTAATTTTTAAAAAGACTAAATTTATAATTAACTTTGCCCGATAATAAATTTGCAATTATGAATTTGGCTACCCATCCTAAATTATCAAAAATAAAAAAAATATGTTTTTCATTTAAATATATAAAAAAAGTTTTTAAAATCTTTGTGAAATCATGAAACAAACAACACCCTTATATTTTTGTCTTATATTTTTAACTTTTTTCCTATTTCATCCCTACAGTTAAAAAAAAAATTTATTAATTATCTATAGTATTTAATTAAGATTTACTGATATATCGATCATTGATAGGAATAATAAGAATTCAACATCGCTAATTTATTTATAAATATCATAGATGGACTTCGCGATTTGGAATATCCGGTAAAACTACATTAATTTAAAATAACGAATTTAATACATATTTTAACCTATTGTTTTTGTGTAAAAACATACCGGGATTGGTAATTTTTTTAGAAGTATATAACTACATTGAAACCAAAGTTTTTTATTTTTCTTTTTTAAATCTTAATATCTAAATTTTGAAGTTCTATTATTTAGTTTTTACACCTTTAAAAATAAGATTTTCAGTCAAAATAATTTTAAAATATCTATTTTAGTTCATGAACTTTCAAAGAAACCATTTGATGACATTATTTTTTCACCAATATTCATTAGTTAACTACATTATCTGGTTACACTACGTAACTCTAACACATGCAAATATTAGTGTCATAAAACACACATTTGAAATCATGCTATCTATCTATTTAAACAATAAATAACAAAGTTCAAGAACTAAAATAAATACGCGTTTGATTAGTGATTTGGAAGCATAAATTTAAAAACAATTAATTCAATGAAAAAACATGAAATCATATTCCATGTTTTCAATGTTTTTGAATGTGTTTAGGAGTAGATTTAAAAATTGGATAACGATTTATAAGTTATTCAAAATATTATCAGCATAAACCATAATAATTACTGTAATATCAAATATTAGTAATTTATTTATTAACATATTTTAGGTTATAAAATTTGAATAATTATTAGTTTACAGTGTGATAAAATTTATAATATATTAGGTTCTTTTTAGACAATATAATATATTATGTAATACACATCTTAATTTAAAAAGAAATAAATGAGCCTATAATATAAAATAGTATCTTTATCACAATTTTTTTTTAATGTAATTCAAATTTCAATTTTGAAAACACAAAAAATACAAAAAAAATTKTTGTTTCCAAAATTTATATAACTAATCACATAATTCAAAAAATAGTTTTAAAAAATAATTCCACCCAACAGATAATTAGTGAATCTACTTCATTCAGTAAATTTGAAAAGAAGAAACAAAATTCGACAAAATTTGAAAACAAGAAACAAAATTCGAGAATCTAAATAAAACAAAATTGATAGATATATAAGGAATAGAATATATAGTGGAAAAGGTAAAAATTGAGACGGAAAATAAAAAAGAAGTTTGAAAAAGAAAGAGGGGAACCAAAAGAAGAGAGAGGTAATCGTCCCTCCCAACTCTCAACCTTTCAAATTTTGAAAAACGCCCTCCACATTTTGCCCTCCAAACGTCTCTATAAGCGCGCTCCTTCTTCTTCTCTCTCTCTCTCTCTCTAAGTTCTAAGTTCTGAGTTCTCAGTTTCCCCCTTTTGGGTTTTGCTTCTTCTGCTCAGATCCACTCCCTTCTTTCTTTCTTTCTTTAATTTAATTTCACTTTCTTCCCAATAAGCTTACCCACATTCCGCATTTTGTTTATTGTAAGCTCCCTTTTCACCATCTTGTTTTTCCACTTCCTTCGTTTTCTGGGTTTTCCTCTGATGCATGTTTTCGTCTCTGACCAGTTCCCATTTCCTCTTTAATCTTCATTTTTGCTGTATTTTTTCCTTTTTTTAGCTCTTTGCCTTTGTTGGGTTTTTTCTCGGATCTCATTTAGGGGGCTCCCCCGGGTCTCAATTTCATGAACCAGAATTTGCATTTGGGGTTTGCCCATTTTCTTTGTTTTTGACTTAATTTATTTCAGCTACAGAACTATGCGACTTCTACTAGTTTTTTTGGGCAACGTAATCAATTACATTGCTAAGGAAGATGAAAATCGAGAATTAAATTAATGACATTGTTGGTTTGGTGCCACCATAGGATCTGTTTGATTTCTAATTCGTCATGGAAGTATGCTTTTCTTTCACCCTTTTGATCCGCCAATTACAAGAGATCTTTGCCAGTTTGCAATTTCAATAGATTTTGTTTTATTTAGGAGAAATTTGAGGGAAAACATAGATGCATTTTTGTGTTGTTGTTGTTGTTGTTTCATATCCCCCCTTTGTTTTGGCTCTTCAAAAGATCTTAGATCGTAAATTGGTCCTCTGATTTCTTGCAAATTGCTGAATTGAAATACTAACTGTAATTTGTGTGCAAAATCTCTCAAATTGTTAGAATCGGTGGGTTTGAAACATGGATTCTCATTATGGTTCATCTTTACATAAAAATGTCATGTTGAGTGAATTAATATACCTTTCTTCCCCAGCTAATTCTTGCCAGTGAAATGTTTGGCCACTGACCCCAATCCGTTTGATAATTGTTCTCACAGAATGGACTCTCTCCCGGATGCTATTGTCCAGTACATCTTGTCGCATATGAGCAATGCTCGGGACGTGGCGGTCTGCAACTGTGTATCCAAGCGTTGGAAAGACTCAACGCCTTACATTAGAAGCCTGTACTTCCCTCGCAATTCCTTCGACAATCATTCGGGCGGGGTGAGTCCCGATGCCGTCATCTGGAAGATACTTTCATCCATAGTTCACCTGGAGGAGCTTGTTGTTTATAGCCCATTTTCGGGTGCTGGTCTTTCTTCGTGGCTGTCTACTGTAGGCCCCTCGCTCCGGCGTCTTGAGCTACGGATGGATAATCTAGTTGATCTTCAGGCTTGTCAAGAGAGCCCTTCCAAGTTGGAATGCATAAAATGTGCGGCAAATTTGGAGTCACTTAAGTTGTGGGGTGTCTTAATGACCCATTCACCTAAGTGGGATGTGTTTCATAAGTTAAAAAATCTTGAGATTGTTGGAGCCAAGTTAGAGGACCCTGCATTGAACACTGCTCTTCGTGAATGTCCTAATTTGTCCAAGTTATTGCTTCTTGCCTGTGAAGGTCTTACTTCAGTTTCCATTGATCTGAAGTATTTGGAAGAGTGTAAGCTGGACTTCTATGGCTTGGGGAACTGCTCGCTTATGATCAATTCCCCTAAAATTCAACTCCTTGAGGTTCAAGGCTGTAGTTGGATTAGAGCCCATGGGACAAGTTCCTTGAGAAGTCTTTCAATTGCCAATAATGCAGGTAAACATCATAACTAGCAATCTTCGGAGGGCGAGTTTGGTTTGATTCTTGAAATAACGAACAATGCTTTCACCAAGTTAAAAATACTTTTTAAAGCTTTCGTAGCGTTTAATGACATACTCAAAACACTCCATAAGAGAAACACTTAATTGTTGCTTCTTTCACTAATGCCTATAAAACAAGTGCTTGACTTAATGTACTATGCTTAAGAGTCATCTCAAACACTCTTTAAGTCCATGTGATATTAGTTGCCTTATTTATCATTATGGTTTGCAAAGTATAGCATGATACTAGGGATAACTTTGTTTCTTGTAAACGAAGTGTGGAAATCTTTGTTAGGATGAGTCTACATAGTGGATTTTGATAAGTTAGCAAGTGCTGTACTTAAAAACCATTCCAAAACTCATGATAAGTCCTCTAAGATGTTAATTGTCTTATTTATCTTAATGTTTTGTATTGTATAACATGATACTAGGGATAACTTTGTTTCTTGTATGAACCTTTTAATAGGAAGTCTACATGGTAGTTTTGATAAGTTTGTAAGTGCTTTACTTAAAAGTACCATGCTTAAAAGTCATTCCAAACTTACTTTAAGGTCAGTGATATTAACCGTCCTCTTTATCTTTATAGTTTACAAAGTATGACATGATACAGAAATATCTTTGTTTCTTGTAACAAAACCTTTAATAGGTAGAACCTACATGGTGCAACTTGATAAGTTTGCAATTAGTTTACTTAAAAGCACTATGCTTAGAAGTTATTCTAAGTTTACTTCAAGACCTTTGTGACATTATTTGTCTTCTTTTATCTTTATAGTTTACAAAGTAGGCATGATACMGGGCATAACTTTGTTTCTTGTTACAAAACCTTTGATAGGTCTACATGGTGAAACTTGATAATTTTGCAAGTGCTTCAATTAAAAATACTATACTTGAAGTCATTCCAAACTCACTTTAAGACCTCAATGATATTAATTCTCTCCTCTCGTTTTATGGTTTGCAAAGTACAAGTATACAAGTGATAACTTTGTTTCTTGTATGGAATCCTTTTGTAGGAAGAGTCTACATGGTGAGTTTCGATAAGCTTGTTTCGCTCGAGTCTCTGTCCTTAAGAGGAGTTCAATGGTGTTGGGATGCAATAAGCAAAATGCTCGAATGGGGGAGCCAGGTGAAGCATCTTTACATGAAGGTGGAGTTCACTGGGGACTTTGATGCACTTGAACCTTTCCCAGAGATCGACTTTGTTGAGTTTTTCAACAACCATCCGAAGTTGCAAAAGTTTGACATTCATGGAGCCATGTTTGCTGCACTTTGCCAGAAGAACAGCCTTCAAAATGTAAGTAGAATCAGTGCCAAACAAGATAACCTGTTCTTGAGATGGATTTTTCTTGGCTTATGAATGACCTTTCTTTGGCACTCAGGTGGATCCAGATTTTGTAATCTCATGTTTGGAGGAAGTATCGGTCTTGGTTCGATCGCCTTTGAATGCCGAACAAAAGATGAGTACTCTTGAGTCGTTGATAAAGTATGGCAAGAATTTGAGGACAATGGTAATAAAGATTCTTAAGATGAAGAGCAGTCATAGCAGTGCAGATGATTTCTTTGATGAGATTTGCAAGTTTAGATACTTGAACCGCAAGATCGTTCGCATTGAATAAAAGTACAAGTGAGGCACTTTTTCCCTCATTTGTGATTGATTCTAGTTGATCATTTTCCTTTTAATTATCTGATTACAGATTGACCTGCTGAAATGATTAACTTGGTATGGTCATTCTTTTACGAATGAAATCATAACTAATTGCTCGTTTCCCACATTCTTCGTTATACCATACAATGAGAGATGCTCGAGCAAATTGTTGGTGTTGATATGAGCCTAGCTTAATTGGTCAAGTAACCTTTTTTTATAGATCATAGGTTCGAATCTTTGTCTCCATTGGAATTGTAATTTTTTCTTTTTAAAAAAGAAACTGATGTTGTACTGAGGAAGTGTAGTTTCTATGTTGGATATCATAATTCCTTACATTGAATTCATGGTTGAAGTATTTTCTCTCAATAAAGGTGATGAATTTTGCAGTTGCACAAGAAGAAAAAGAGGAAAAGAAAACGCTTTCTCTAGTTTAAGCCTTGAATTTTGTTCATATGACCGTAGCACAATTGGTCAAGTAACTTTTGTTATAGGTTGTAGGTTCGAATCTATGTCTTGTATCAATTGTAATTTATTTTTCTAGAAGAACTTAAGAAATTGAAATTATTTTAGGAAAATGTAGGGTGCGTTTGCTAGTGATCTACATAAATTTGGAAATAGAGAATTCAATAAAAACAAAGTTGGGTTGGGTTAGATAATGGCTTGGTTTGAATTGGGTTWTGTTTTTCAAAAATCGATCGATTTGGTTAGATTCACGGGTTCAAAGAAAATAAATTCGATTTGGTTGAACTGAATCGAATTTACTCATATATATACACATACATACATATATAGATACATACCTATATATATATATAGACACATTATGTTATATATATATGTATATATATGTAATATATACATTATGTATGTATATATATGTATATATATGTAATATATACATTATGTATGTATATATATGTATAATGTATGTTATATATATATATATATATGTAATATATACATATATATATATATATACACACACATATATATACATATACATATACATATACATATGTATATATACATATGTCTTTGTCTCCTATTTTCGACCAATGTCGTCCTTGCCGACCCACCATTCGCACCGACGAGAGGAGGGAGAGTGAGACCTCATCCTCTCATTGGCGACTACAAAGAACAAAGCATAGTGATGGTGCGACAACGATGGCGATACATCGATGGAGAAAGTGCAGCAACAGTGAACGGTTGGTCGGCGGTGGCGGTGGGTCGGAGACGGGAGAGAAAGAGAAGGGAGGGGAAGAAAGAAAACCACAAACAGTCAACTAATGGTCAAAGGACCATTTGAAACTATTTCTTAAACCTCAATTACCAAATATGTCCATTTTGAAATTTGAGGAATCAAATAGACACCTACTCCATATTTCGGACAAAAAAATGTTAATTTTGAAACTCCAGTGACCAAATAGACATGCTTCAAACCTCAGGAACCAAAAATGTATTTTTCCCAATAATTTATTAACATAAATGTTATACATTTTGTTAGAGTTAGTATTTTGCAATATTATATAATTTATAATTTATTATATTTTACATATTTTAATTTTAACAAAAATGATTTGAGTTTATAATATGAAATAGTGTATTAATCAAAGTTTTTATCTTTTTAAATATAACTTTGCATTTTAAAGGTGTTGGGAAATTATATAATTTTCCCTCGCACAAAAATATCCAAACACAACTAAAAATATGTAAATAGGAAGAAAACTATAAAAACACAAGAATAACAACACAACAAATTATAGTAGTTCACCATTAAGGGCTACGTCCAGTCTTTCACTCAGATGTGGGTAATTCACTAATAATTGTTTAAGGATCGGATAAAATAACTCTCTAAAAAAATATCCCTTAGAGGTCCCAACAAAAGCCCTATAACTTCTAAGCAATATAATACAATTACTTAGGAAGATGAATGAAAAATTTATCCTGAATAATATGATCTTGATCTCCCAATCTGCTGCCAACAATCCCAAGCCGCTGCAACGAAAAACTGCTACCAAAATACCTCAATTTGGCTGCTCCCAAAATTCTGATGGCTACTCCCCACAAAACATAAAACTCATATATATATAGGGATAATGTCTTCGGATGGTTGTTTTAGAAACTTATTTACATAAATATCTAAATTTTTCTAATTTCACACTTTTAGATTTCTACATGTAGGATTTTATTTTAATCCCGATTTTACCCTTATTTATTACATTTACATTTATTATAGTTATTTGTTTTTTTAAATATAAAAAATTTAGTTTCATAAATTATTATCATAATCCTTTAATTATTGTGGGCCCCATACTAATTTTCAACACAAATCCTTTAATTCACTCCTTGAAAACCTTAATTTACTCATTCAATATGATTGATTTTCCCTTAATTCACTCCCACATTGGTGCTCAATCTTCAAAGACAATTCAAAATTACAGAAACATCTTTTGAAGCCTCAATAAATATATATCAGCATATTCAAAAAATATATTTAAAATCACAGTATTTATCCACTTATATATCCGAATATATACATTCAAAATCACTATAGTATATATCCGCATATCCACATATATACAAGTTGAGTTATATCCACTTATATATCCACATATATACATTCAAAATCACTATAGTATATATCCGCATATCCGCATATATACAAGTTGAGTTATAAGACATATCATAATCAAATCACTATACTATATATCCTCACATATACAATATTTCACACCAAATCAGAAATTGAAAACATCCGTTAGAATGCAAACCTTTCAATCTGGAGATAAACTGCTTTGGTGACTGAGAAAAATGGAGGCTACCGAAGATGAAGGCAGACAAACGTCGGTCAGAGACGAAAGTAGGCAGAAACGCCTAGAGGATAAGAACCGATGGAAATATATTTTCAAAGGCGATTGGAGATTAAATGCTTTTGCGACAGAGAAAAGCGGAGTCGACCGAAGAGGAAGGTAGACGGTCGGAGAAGAGGAACGAAGGGTCGGAGGAAGGAAAAACGAGGAAGAAGAAAGGGGTGGGTTTCGAAAATGAATGGGTTTTTGGGTTTTGAGATTTTTTAATTTTAGAAAGTATTATTAGCACATCTTAAGGGATTTGACCTCCTAATTTATCAATTCTAAAATTTAATAATTATTTAATATTAAGATGAATCCTAAGGATATACTAGTAATTTGTGTTATGGGTACCATCTCATTAAGAATTGTTTCATGACAAAAGTGTAAATTCTATACTTTTCCATCTTTTTACGTAATTATGATTTCTAAATAGACCATTTATGTACTAACCCCATATATATATATATATGAGTACGTGAAACCTAAAAATAAAGGTTTGGGCTTTTGACCCATTATTTGTTTTCACTCATTCATTTTTATTTATTTATTTTATTAATTTGTATCCAAAAATCTCAACAAAAGAGTTTGGATTCAAAATCTAAAAACATCGAAAACATTAAAAAAAAAAGTTGTTTTCAAAATTTCCAATTACAGATTCAGAAAATAGTTTTCGAAAACAATCCTGCCAAACAGATATTTATTGAATTTATTTGAAAAAGGAATCTGAAAACAAGAAACAAGATTCAAATTGTTAACAAAACATGCTCGTAGTTTTTTTTGTTGGGTATCAAAATTACTTAGTTTGATGGTTGAAATATTTCTCTCAATAAAGGTGATGAATTTTGCAGTTCCACATAAAGAAAAAGAGGAGAAAAGAAAGTTTTATCTAGTTTTAGCTTCAAGGAGACTTGCAGCACATAAGAAAATGTATGGCGAAGGATCTTATCGGCCCAAAACTAGCTTTGTAATTTTATAGTAAACATTTGAATATAAATGAAGTTTTAACTTTTTAGTATGTGTTTCTTGTTTGTAATTCATATTCAAATCATTAAGTCTGTGTTTAATAATCATTTTGTTTTTGAAAAATAAACTTACAACCATTACTTTAATGTGTGTATTCTGTTGTCTTGTTATCAACTTTTTAAAACGTTTTCAAAATCTAAACCAAAATTTGAAACCTAAAATATAATAAAGAAACCGTGAGAAAACATGCAAAATGAAATCGTTATCAAAACGGAAGCTAAATATGTATATAGAGGAGAATCCAGAAAGATAAGTCAAACAGTTTACTCTAGATAGATAGGCCCACATTTATTATTTCTTTATCGACTCACTCGATTTTAATATTAACTCAATTATTAACTTTGAAGTCTATAGGAATGAAAAATTCGTCGTGTAATGGAAAATTTTGATTTTTAAATAATTTAGAAATCAATTATTAGATTTTACGTTTGGATTTAAAGTAAAATTATTAACATACCGATGAAGTTKGAAGAACCAATTATATTCAATTCTAAGTGTATCTTTAATATATCTTCCTTGCCATGACTCTATATGATCAAGATTGGTGAAAATCTCCTTAAAAAAAAAGAGGAAGGCTCTTTCCTCGAGAGAGAAGAATTTTAGACCGAATTTCTTTATTTCTAGCTGATGTTACATTTTAATATTTACGTTTAATTATTATAGAAGTTTTAACTTTAAATGAGAGTTGTTTTGACAAGTTTTTACATGAAGTTAAGAGAAAAACATATTTATTTCTCTTAATTGAGGAGAAGTTAAATAATTTTTGCATTAAATTTCTAGGTCTAAAAGTTCCTATATTTATACCACACGCCCAAAAAACAATATATACAACGTATTTTCTGATCTGGAGTTCGAGTCAATATAACATATATAGTTGGGAACAATTTGAAAAGGAATTTCTAAATCGTTTCTATAGTACAAGATGAATCGTCAACATGTTCAAGCTTACCAATACTAGACGAGAAAATAAGGATTTCTTAGTCTCAGACTTAAACAAAGAAATCACAGCTGCTGAGGCAATTACAAATGAATCTTTTCTTGTAAAGACTACCTCTCTTAAATTTTCTTTAAAAGGAAAAGAAGAGAATTGGAAAGTAAGAAGGAAATCAGAAGCGTCACTTAACTTTGAAGGAAAGACAATAAAAAGTCTTATCATTTTCTTGATTTTGACATCCCTAATATGTTGGAACAAGTATTGGAAATATGATTGATTGCACTTTCTTGAGTATATATAGCCGGAAGAAATGGGCAAAGTTGATGATCCCAACTATTGCAAGTATCACTGAGTCATCAGTCATCTGGTAGAAAAAAGAGTTTGTCATAAAAGAGTATATTCTAAAGTTAGCTCGAGAGAAAAAAAGATTTGAGTTACATCTCAATGAAATAACTTAATTAAATCACAATGCAGTAACAACAAATATACAAGCAGCCAAACATCTCAAAGTTTATTTTACAATAAAGAAGTGAGCGTGATCCAATTTGGGAGCCTA